ATTTTTACTCTAATTAGTGACCTTCTGATCCTCAGCGAACAATCTCATCTTGTTTCATTTTCGTTTTTTGTAATTTTAATTAGTTTCTTAGGATTATATTGCTCATCTTTGTCTTTATGTTTCCTCTCGCCTTTCTTTTCTTTCACTTGATGCATCAAAACTGAAGATGTAAATGTGTTAATAACTCAAAATGTGTTTCTCTTCTCTAAGGCTTTCGCATCGCTCGCTAAGCAAGAAGATAAGTCTCGTGGTCGGTCGTTTTTTGTTCCAGCTCCTGTTACGTCGACAACTGAGTCCGCATCCTGAAATAGTTAATTCTACCAAATTACTTTGCTCAAATCAGGCTTGTACAAGATACTCACTAAAAGTATTTAAGTTATGTTACTGAGTACTACGAAGAATGGTAACTGAAAAGAGTACTAAATTCTCAAACTTGTAAAGTAATTGCATGAAGTACAAAATACTCCGCAAAAGTAACTCGTTACTTTCAAGATACTCTCAAGTTAAAATTTTCTCTGCAATTCATTGTCAAGCACAACCGAAGTCAGAAAAAATGCTTCTTCTCAGCTACTATGGAATCTCCTGGAGATCTCTTAGCTAGACTTTGGCTGTCACGCAGGTTTCTAGGAGGTCCCAAGTAAATACGGAAGAAACAAAAATAAAACCGTTTTTCTTTGATACCCTTGCTACGGCGAGGACATAGGCGAGGGCAGCGCGGGGCCCGTTCGCCTTCGGAGGGAGCTCGCCCCCGACACTCCCCTACAGGACTATCTTTTCCTTTCCAAACCCCTCCTCTCTCTCTCTCTCTCTCTCTCTCTCTCTCTACTCCCCTTGTGTCGGGTGTTCATTTCCGCTTCCCCCCTTGGTGCACTGGCGGTGCCGTGCAGTCGGGGGTCGGGGAGTTCAGGCCAGGGGAGAGCGGGCGCCACCGTGGTGGGCGCCGGCGGACATTCGTGCTACCGAATACAATAGGGAGTTTTAGTAGACTGTATTTATTTCCCCCTCCGCTAACCCTCCGCTACGAAGAAACCGCCACTGTGCGTTTTAGTAGACCGTGCTTCCCCCTCCTTTAAGCCCCTCTGCGACCCGGTGCTATACAGCCAAGGCCATCGGCACGCAGGCGCAGTGGCGGTTTCTTCGTAGCGGAGGGTTTACGGAGGCGCAAACACGGTCTACTAAAACTCGCGAATAGCGAGTTTTAGTAGATTGTGTTTCCCCCTCCGTTAACCCTCCGTTACGAAGTATTTCTCCAAGTAATACTGCGTACGCCGCTAGCGATGGGCCGCCGGATTGGAGCCGTGTAGTCGCGTCTTACGAGTCTTGTGTGCGAAAAGAGCCTAGTGAAACGAACGAGCGGTGTGAGCGACTGCGTGCGGATGCAGAGGCATTTCTGAGCCTGGAAAGCTTTTTTTTATATGCTTTTACGTTATAACATAGAAAAATTAACTCCGGTTTACGGTCGACTCTTACCAGACACTTGTAGAACCTACCCTCTCTCCGACACAAGTGCCCTCCCTCTGACTTGTAGCCTTGTACACATATTATGCTTTCACCCGCATGTCCTTCTGCTTCGGAATCTCAGTTGCTCTTGGGGTTGGCCACAAACAAATTGTAAGAAAATTTGCTTTGACGTTTTGCCCATTGAAAAGAAACGACACGCGTCCGGTCAGGTTGAGGCTGCGGCACCTGCTTCTCCGTGTCACCTTCTTCAGCAGAAGCACGGAAGCGCAATGTATTGCCTGGCACGAAATGTATCTGCAGTGGCAGGGCGCCTAGCCAAAATAACTGGAGTTCAATATTTTCTAAGCTTCCCGCCTCTATAAAAAATAAAAAATAGAAAGTAACTTAAAAGTAACTTTAAAATGAGTACAAGTTACTTGAAAAGTATTTAAGTTAGAGTACTATGTACTGGGACGTTCGAAATTATTTGCAAGATACCAATGTTACTCACAAAAGCATTTAATATACAGTAACTTGAGTAGAGTATTTAAGTTACGTACAAGTCTGGCTCAAATGCGTTGTTCGTACATATCTGATGTTTCTTGGCCATTACAAAAACTGGGAGTAACTGAGATGGGATTGTACGTTAGGAAACACTTTGGGGCCTACCGTCGACACGCGAATGTGGCAGTTTCAGATTGAGTACTCCTTTTATAAGCATCATCTCTGCGTAAAAACTCATATACCGCTACCTTCTTAAGGCACAATATATCACGGAATCCTGGAAACTGTAAGCAAACGAACTATTTGGCAGCAATATGGGATCCCGGTCACTCAACATTTCTAACAAATATTAAGCACTGCAAAATCGCGCCACACGTTTCCTGGTCTGTAACTACCATTGCACCGCACGTGCTTCATCTATGAAAACCACACCGTCCCCGCCTCTTCTACGCTCATGCCGTAAGATATACCGTTTATGCCTCCTTCATAAAATGTATCAGTACAACACTTCTCTGAAAGACAAAATATTCATTTCTCCTGGCTTCAATCGCAGCCTTAAATGCTGCCACACTTCATCGTGAAACTTCAGCTTACATCTTCCTTCATCCTCAAAAAATCATCTGAATGAACCACCTTCCCGTATCATTAGTAGCTATTCCGTATTTTCTTTTTTTGCATTTTATATAGAAAACACAACTTATTAACTTTTGGCAATATTGTGCCAGACTAACTTTAATAACAAAGTTGCCTTGTTTGTATGAATTTTTTATTGAACCAGTATTGTATGTCTAGCCCTCGGTAATGCCACTGTGCCCTGAGAGTATTGAAATAAATAAATAAATAAATAATTACATTGCGTAGACATGACACCACATTTTCAGTCAAAGCAACACGTTTTAGTGATTTGAACAGCTTGGGCCTCAACAAGCGGTGACACAAAAAGGCACTCGTGTTTGATAACTTATTGTTGCTTGTTCACCGTTCGAGTCGTCAATTGCAATCATTCTAGCTCAGTTAGTCTGGTACACTCTCCTGAATTAGCTTAAAGGGGCGTTCTAATTTGATATCGGCTCTTCTGATTTATTTATGTTATTACCTCATTAGTGGTTCGGGCTCATGCAATTTAACGTAACAGCACACAAAAACGAAACACTCACGAACCGTGTCCGTGAGTCTTTCTTTTAATGCAGTGTAACATTAAATAAAATGAATAATGAACCACCATTTCACCCAGTCAGCGATCCTCACTGGTTTGGGCTACTCAAAACCATGTGGAAGACAAAATATTAGCTCATCATATTTTAATTCAATCAGACCATACCAACTTAACGTCCGGTGGCAACACAACATGTTGGCAACGCGCGACCAGTAACAGCACCTGTAAGCATTTTATGATTGGCAGTGGGCAAAATCCGGCAAATTTTTATGCAGGCTAAAAAACGTGTATCGATCGTAAACGATCGTTATTATATCAAGAAGGCGTTTCCATTTTGCAAGAATTATAGACAAATAAATATATTTCAAATGTGCACAAACAACAATTAAAAAAAAGAAAAGACAGTCCGGCTGCCCCGCGGCAGAACCAGCCAAACCAGTCGGCGTGCATGCCCTTTAGCGGTGCTAGCGCCTTGAGATGCTTGAGCGCTGCCCAACGCACGGGCGCTATGGGTGCCCCATCGCACCACTGAAAATAGCTAAGCTTGTCCTTCTATTCGTAGCGTGTGCGGAACGCTTATTTATGAGAGTTGACTATGCCGTATGTTGTTTGGCGTTTTCGCCGTTTAGTACGGCTACTTCGGGTTTGTGTGTTTGTGTGCACAACGTTTATACGCTCAATTTGGAGAGTATATATACCTGGACGGATCTACGAGCTACCCCAAGAAGCTTCGTAGGCCTAACGAGCCTAGCGCGATTCACGGTTTGCCAGCCCAAGCGTGAAGCTCGATGACGAACGAAAGGTAGAGTTAATTAGCCTTCAGGGCGACCTTGTGTATGATCTATGTATGATCGTGTGCTAGTTGTATCTAACCGGCAGCGGTTCCCGCTCGAAACAACAAATGCCAAATGCAGAAGCGATGTGCAATGGAAACAAAGTTGAAGCGCGAAAGGTTTATTCGCAGTGCGCTACAATTTACCACACGTAAACGAGGTAATTTAGGGGTGATCCGCTCCCTTCAATGTTTTACGTAAGTGAAGGCTGCTGCGGAACGCGAGTGCATCACATCTGTCGAGGCCTGCCGGAGGATGCTTTGACGGACGCAACATCGTGATATCTTTCTTTCTTTCCTTTTTTTTTTCGGAATTTTGCGTGACATTTTGTACAAAATAAATGCTCATTTAAACGTGTTATCCGCAACATTTTTTTTTAGAACCTATCACAGTAAGAATCCCTGTTTTGCGTCGGTGCTTTGATCCCACAGTGCTAGATTCTATGAAGGGGCGCGGCGAAGTGGACAGCGAACGTCCTTCTACGCTGGCGTGCGTTGGGTTTCCCGATCGACGCCGATCGGGAAACCCCCATAAATTGTGGAAATAAGCGCTATTATTATTTTCATTATGTAGAAACAGCCGGTGTCCACTGGTAACGCCGATCGCGTTTGGGGCCTGAGCTTAAGAAAATGCAAGGGCCTTCAGCAGGGAGGCCGACGACGCGCGCACGTCCTCAGCGCGGCAACAATAAGTTAAACCCGCGGCCAATTGGCCAGCGGCTTTGCCCCAACCCTCTAACCATTGAAGTTTTCCGACACTGTCACGGAGCAAAAATATTTCGCCACTTGTAGCGATTTGAATTCGCTAATAACTCCAACATAATTCGTAGTTCGCTCAAAACATTTTTCCTCCAAGCTTCTACGGCCGATGAGCTCCATTTCACCGCAATTTTCAAACCATTTGGAAAATCAGTTAAGGGCTTCTTTAAATTGGTAGTAACCAATTTACGTTTTCTAAATTAGCTGTTCTTTAAGTATTTTGACCGAATAAAAAAAAGTATTATAATACTTTTTTACATTGGCATGAGCAGGATTAAAATTTTGTTTCGTTTTTCAATTTTTTGGCAGGTGTTTGGAATACCGGAAGAAAGTGTGGGAGAGCATATCTGTGCGTGGATCAAACTGAAACCTGAGAAAGCCTTGACCCAAGAGGACATCCAAGCCTTTTGTGAGGGCAAGGTATGTGAGGAGTTGAAACGTACGGCGGGCTACAATTTAGCATAAAGAAACGGTTGAGTGTGACATAAACGAAACAAAAACGAAATGAAAGGTCAGTATAATGGCGATCTCACGGGGGCCATATTCGACGCGCTTTATGTACGTACCTTGCTATTTAAATTTATGATAAACATACCATACTTACGTTCTACCATATTACCATATTATTCTTCCATGGTCATTATACCGTTTTAGACTTTGTATAGTAAACTCTCTAGACACTATACATGTATAAGCTAAGACAAGAAAACAACGTTGGTCTTTGATGTCACTAACTGCAAGTTTATTAGAGGAATATTATTATGTGGAAAGTTTCACATAGCTATAAAACAGGAATACCGAAGATGATTATTTTCATTTATGCGTTATGTTTAAAACTAGTGACGTCATCGACTATAATGATCACGTTGCGAGCGATAGTCGCCGCTACGTGAGCGCTTGGTATTCACCGGTCGTGTTTAGGGCCTAGTCGCCCCATGCGACTAAGGAGTCGACTAACAGATCTTAGTCATGGGGTAGTGCTAGTTTAGCCGGTGTTTAGCGGGTGACGAGAGGCTCAGCGCCATGGCCGACTCGTCTCACCGCTGACCGCTAGTGCTAACGAAGCACTTACTGTCTCGGAACGCTGGGAGACAGATCTAGAAACAATTTGAGGAGCAAATTTTGTGTAAATCCCCATGTTCAGTGGTCAGAGATACCGCTAAAGAGATCTCAGCAGGGCACTGGACGACGAGAAAAAACGCATTTACTGGCGCTTTCATATTTGCTTATGTCGCTGGCAATGCGGCTTCCGTGTTTCTCCCTGGCATTGTTTTTAAATTTTTCTATTTAAAACTCTGTCTCGGACAATTTGTCTCTCGCTGTAACTTTTTTTTCTTATAAACATTTAACTATCAGTTTTTATGCGATAAAGTGCTCATTTACGCAGTAGCGTTTAAGTATGCATATGCGTGACCTATCTTTTTACGTCACTTCCGCTTGTTAGTTCTGACTAGATAGTCACCCGCTTGCTCAGCGCTCGTGAATACCGCAGAACTAGTCGATCCTTGGTCGCTGATTTTTCTCTTAGTTCGCGACTACTGAGACGCGATACAAACCTTAAAACAGTGCTAGTTAGTCACGACTGGTGAATACGGCTGTAAGTCAAGTTGTCTGTGTTTGTTTATTTACATATTTAAAACAATGACATTGGTGTTGCCTGTAACCTGCAAGCAGCGCCACAAAGACAAATATGTTTTGAAGAATGTAAGGGATCGAACGTCCCGGCCCTCACACCTTAACCCAAATATCTTGTCCGTCCGTCCGTCCGTGAAGTTCTCGCGAAATTTAGCGAAGAAATTGACGTCCCGTAACGTGGCGTCAAATGACCTATGTTGCAATGGGAGAAGTTGACTTCGCGTGACCCATGTTTTTGTGGCGAAGAAAGAGGATTGAGTACCTGTCCTAACAATATTCTTTTTTTCAATAGTCGCGAATGCAACGAGCTGATTTAGTAAAGGTTCCCTGAAAAACTCTCTTAACAGTTTGACTTTGTAACGATTACACAGTTGTAAGTTTTCTAAAATCAAATTACAGCGTGAGCGAAATGAATTGAGCGCAATTCAAACTGGCCGCATAAATCGGTTCTAAGCTTATCGCGCTGGGATTTACTAGAGAGGTGCATGAAGTTTGTGGAAACGTTTTCTAGGACTGCGAAAGGATTGGCTCGCCTGAATATATGAATAAAAATAAAAACCTAGCTTTTTCCTATACTTTGCATATACACTAATAATATATTATGAGTTATTTTAGCGCTTATTTCAAGCAATTCAATTGAAGAATAGGTAAGCGAATCTATTTGTTTTCCATTTCGCAATGTTTTCAATCGTTGTAAATGCCAGAATAGCGCACAACGCTTTTCTGATGATTTAACGATAAAAAGGGTTAGATATAATTTTTACATACAGAAAATGAGTTTTGTCTTTTCTTTCTCTTAAACTCTAGGGTTTTCATGTACTCACACTTTCAATTAATGAATTCACCAGCTTCGGGCACTTCTGTAGTACATCCAAGTTCGAGAAGTTAAAAAACCGCTTTATGAGATCAGTTTAAAATTCGTTCAATCAATTTCGCCCATGCTGTAGTAGTTGCTACCTTGGAGCCTCTATGGGTGATTGCAAATAACAGACGCTAGTTTCCGTTGTACCCGTTCTGAGCACAGTATGGTGCCGGAAGGAAGGGCTTCCCGCACCATACTGTGCTCAGTTTCCCAAATCAAGAAAACAAAACCTGCAAATTGCTTTTAATTTTGTTGTTGTTCTTTTCTTTTCGAAAAGTTTATAAATTGGTTTAACTTGAAGTAATAATTGCGAGGTCATATTTGAATGCGCTGTGCACTGGGCATTCTCAGATCGAGCACTCCTTTATAGGCTACCAATACCGACTACCTTGGCTATGTGTCATGCGCCTAGTAAACTTACAAGTGTAGCTCGCCATCAAAACTCGCTTAACAGCCCCGGACACAGCTATGTCTGCCCTTAACTACCTACAAAACCATTATCATAAAAAAAATATTTGAGAAATAAGTTAAATACACGACTCATTCTTAAAAATTTGCAAAAAAAAAATTGAAGTTCATTACACACCGCACAGAGAGGGCGCCCCTTAAAGAGACGGGTGCCCTTTTTTTCAAGGGTTCTTTATCGGTTGAAAACAAGCACCCTTATTTTATCTCTACTGCACAAACCTGATTTAACAATGCTACAGCGGTCCGCCGAGTTCCCGTATCTGGTTGCGCTTTACTGCAGCAGTATTGCCTGTGTGTCTCGTTGCTCCGTGCCGCTTACACCGGGTACGCCGTTACGCCCTATATACCCTTCACCCCCTCAGGAAGACTCTGCGGTTATTGTAAAGATAGCATAGTTATATCTTCGTTGTATAATTTCCTGAAGCAGCTATGCGCCTTATCAACTGCTCTCTAAACTTTTACGGTGTCAAATAATTGTTCTATACATTTAAAGCGAATCTACTGAAATGTAAGAATGCAAAACAAACGTAAAGCACTAAAATAACACTAAGTAACATGCATGTGCAACGCTGCCTTAAGTTTATACGCGGTGTTTTTTGAAACGAGGGCTGAATCACACTTGCAAAAACTACGAATCGAAGAAAAATAATCCGATGTCATACAGTTCATAACGAGACATAGATTTAGTAATTTCTGCCAAATAGCCTATTTAGGAGAATAATAACGTTTGGTATAATTAGGTTATTAGTTACTTTTCAGTATAAACTTGTTGATTACACAAGTTAGATACATAAGCTATTGCCACCAGTGCAATTCAAATCGTTCGGAGCACTATAAAAAATATCTAAATCAGCAGACGTTGCAAAATATACGGCAGTCTAAGATATTTACAGAGTTAATAAAAACATAAATGAGGACGTGTTTTATTTTTCGGATTTCTAACAGAGCGCACCTTTCAGCGAACGGTCCTGCCCCCGATGTTTAAAAGGCGGAACTATCGCCTCGTCTCCTTGGTAGTGACAGGAAGTCCTTGTGCGACCCGACGTAATGAAACGTTGTCCTGTACGAATATCACTGCGCGAATGACCTTTGCTTCTTGGGTTCGCGTCTCTTTTGTGAGGAAAGCGGTCGAGGCGCACGTTAGTTGCTCACTTTTGCCAAGAGACAGCGCAAATTTTGGCGCGAAGATGGGTTTGGGTGGAAAATAGATACTTTAATACATGTCCAAATTTAGTTATTTTCTTTTTTAGTTCTTTCTTGGAACGATGTGCACTGCTGCGCGTGCCTTGTATGTTTAGAAAGTGCACTGATTTACGGCTTTTTGATGAGACCCATTGTGTTTCAGTTGAAACCATTTCTTAACTAATGAAAAATGCAACAGAACGAAAAGTAATTAAGAACGTTATTATAAAGGACCTTGTTGATTTTCCTAAATAGGCCCTTTACAAAGACAAACACGACAAGTTTTTTTTGTTTTTTTGGGGGGGGGGGATGCGTAATTTTTGCAGGAGCGAGTTACCCTGCGTTTTTCCGATACCTTCTTATATAGATATGCACAGGAATGTTTAGATAACAATGCGCAAAATTATTTAGGGCTACCTGCATTGTAAATTGCTGTGAACGTATATGTACCAAAAAGGGTCGAACACTGCGATTAGCTTTTATAGATGCGCTATTAGCTTCACTGACACATGCGTAGTAACAAAAGCATGGTCCTCAACAAAAAGAGCCAAAAATTGACCCCGTATTCACCGTATTCAAGTTACGTTGGAGGTAATATTTCTGAAGCGCAAAGAGTCATTCATTGCCAGGCCGTACACAGTAATCTGACGGCTTTCAAGTCAACAGAAGCAAAACTTTTGCAAATTTTTTTTAGACATCAAGGTAAAAAAGTTAAAGGACACATGAGTTTTCTATCACTAGAAGTTGAGAGAGGACTAAACTTTGTAATCGCTGGAGTTAATAGATATGTAATTGCCGTACTGCACACTATACCAAACCAAAAAAAAAAAAGATAATTCCAGTAATTTTTTTTTTCAAGGTGTGCACGTATTTAAAACGTGTTTTCTAATTACAGATCCACAGGTTTAAGATTCCAAAATTCGTGTTCTTCGTGGACACGTTCCCGAGGACTCAGACCGGAAAAGTTCAGAAGCACAAGATGCGGGAGGACAGCATGCGACTCCTCAACCTGTGAAGAATTCCGTGCATAGGACAGGAGAATCACACCGAAACAATAAAGTATAGTCTGTGCAAGGCAACAGCTTCACTGTAGCGTAGCATTCACTCAGGTGGAAGCGGAGTGGAGTGGCATGGGAATATACTGTAAAACCCTTATTGTTCGCGAGCCCTTAATTTTCGCGAATTTCGCGAATTGAAGAATTCCCGAAATTTAAGGGCGCGCGAAAATTTCGCTCCTTAAGATTTTCAATGCAGGCGTCTGGAATTCGCGAAACTTAGTGGTCGCGATTATGTCATCGGTGACCGATTCGCGAAAAATAGGGGCCGCGAAAATAAAGGGTTTTACAGTATATGTCACAGTCAGAAATTGCTACTTCAGTGAACATTCGAGAATTGTTGGAGGTTACGATAAACTCTCCGTGGTTGTTCGACGAAAAAAAAAGAGATCAGAATTCTATTGCTTTCGTTTTTCTTATTACATATGTAGCAACACTCACGGCCTGCTCGTGTCGCACACACGATGACGACGAGGTGAAGATGCCTCTGCAGCGCGCGAGATTAAGAGATCAGTTCGAATCCAAACGCTGTCCAAGCTGGTTCGTTTCGTCCCAGCTCAAACAGATTTGGTGACCCGGAATCGAACTCACTCCTTTAAAGTCTGCGACTTCATGGCTCATTCCGGCGCGTCCAACGCTCCCGACGGCGACGCCCTCCAGTCAACCTTGGCAGCTGTCCAGAATTTTCGGCTACCACCATTTTGGCCGAAAAATCCGACCGTGTGGCTGATCTGCTCATGTCGCACACACGATGACGACGAGGTGAAGATGCCTCTGCAGCGCGCGAGATTAAGAGATCAGTTCGAATCCAAACGCTGTCCAAGCTGGTTCGTTTCGTCCCAGCTCAAACAGATTTGGTGACCCGGAATCGAACTCACTCCTTTAAAGTCTGCGACTTCATGGCTCATTCCGGCGCGTCCAACGCTCCCGACGGCGACGCCCTCCAGTCAACCTTGGCAGCTGTCCAGAATTTTCGGCTACCACCATTTTGGCCGAAAAATCCGACCGTGTGGCTGATCTGCTCATGTCGCACACACGATGACGACGAGGTGAAGATGCCTCTGCAGCGCGCGAGATTAAGAGATCAGTTCGAATCCAAACGCTGTCCAAGCTGGTTCGTTTCGTCCCAGCTCAAACAGATTTGGTGACCCGGAATCGAACTCACTTCTTTAAAGTCTGCGACTTCATGGCTCATTCCGGCGCGTCCAACGCTCCCGACGGCGACGCCCTCCAGTCAACCTTGGCAGCTGTCCAGAATTTTCGGCTACCACCATTTTGGCCGAAAAATCCGACCGTGTGGCTGATCTGCTCATGTCGCACACACGATGACGACGAGGTGAAGATGCCTCTGCAGCGCGCGAGATTAAGAGATCAGTTCGAATCCAAACGCTGTCCAAGCTGGTTCGTTTCGTCCCAGCTCAAACAGATTTGGTGACCCGGAATCGAACTCACTTCTTTAAAGTCTGCGACTTCATGGCTCATTCCGGCGCGTCCAACGCTCCCGACGGCGACGCCCTCCAGTCAACCTTGGCAGCTGTCCAGAATTTTCGGCTACCACCATTTTGGCCGAAAAATCCGACCGTGTGGCTGATCTGCTCATGTCGCACACACGATGACGGCGAGGTGAAGATGCCTCTGCAGCGCGTCATCATGTGTGCGACAGGAGCAGGCCGTGACTGTTGCTACACATATATAGTAGTCTCTCTCAATAAATATTCTTGCAACCCCGGGTACATTCACAGAATATCTGTACCTGCGGAACGACAACTTGAGGTACGAATTAATAAATCTGGCGTAATACTTTTTTGTGGTTTTTCTGCCAATTTGTTGGCAGAAAAGGAAGGTAGACATGTCTTACCCACATTTTTTTTAACCCAGTCACCTAGTGAGAGGTTGCGGTGTCCAGAAGAAGAACGTCCGTCCTAATTTTACTAACGAAAAACTACCCTGATAAACTGATTGGCTATATCGCGGCAGTTGCGCGTTGATGAATAAAAATAAAACGCCCGATTCAAGTTAAGACAATATTGTGGCCGAATGTGCAAGCACAGCGTAGCTCGGAGCCTGTGGGAAAAAAAACTCGCGGTTGTGGGAATCCTGGGTTTGATTGCCATGGATCTCCAGAGATTCTGGGTTTAATTCCCACCCCGGCCCGTTTCGATCTTGCCGAGCATAGTACCGGCGTTCGGTCGTGTATCGCTAATGTGTGATATACGTTGAGGATCGCAGGCTATGGGTACTCTACCGGCTAGATATATAATCAACTGCGGAAACCTGTCACCGAACCTCAACGGCAGGCGAAATTTACGCTGCCTAAACGTATACGACTTTTTTTAAGCAAAAATAATTTGTTAGAATATGGTTACGTGTATATGATTTCAAAAGCCTTCTCGGAAAGCTACACACGACGTGTCACGTTCTGTCGTGATATAGTGAATTACAGTTCTTTTTACTAATTTATTTAATGGGCGCTTTTGTCATCGTGAGGTCTATACCAGTAAATATTCCAGATAAGACTTTATTTAACCGTTCTAATTGAGCTCAATTAGGGACCTGTCTACGAACAATTTGGTGGCTCTGTCTTTCCATCCCAGGGTATAGTGATTTCCGGCCAGGTATGTTTCACTGCAGGTCCCGGTCCTTTCTTTTAGAGCGCAGCTCTTAGGCGCTTTGTTTCCGGCTTGAGCGGCCGCGCCGTCGGCGTCGGCATTGTCGTCGCCGTCGCCTTCGGCGTAAGCACGCAGTGCATTTTATGTAAATTTCCCCGCTTACTCTAGCGGAAAAATTTCCCCGCTAAACCTAGCAGAAAAATTTCCCCGCTAAATCTAGCGGAACATTTTCCCCATTAAATCTAGCGGAAAATTTTCCCCGCTAGATCTAGCTGAAAAATTTCTACACTAGACCTAGTGGAAAAATTTCCCTGCTAGATCTAGCGAAAAAATTTCCCCGCTAAATCTAGGAAAAAAAATTTCCTGCTAAATCTAGCGGAAGATTTCCCACTAAATCTAGTGGAGAAATTTCTCGGCTAAATCTAGCTGAAAAATTTCCCCGCTAAATCTAGTGGAAAATTTTTCCCGCTAGATCTAGCGGATAAACTTCCCTGCTAGATCTACCGTAAATATTTCCCCACTAAATCTAGCGGAAAAATTTTCCCGCTAAATTTAGCGGGAAAATTTCTCCGCTAAATGTAGCGGAAGAATTTCCCCACTAAATCTAGCAGAAAAAAAAATTCCCTGCTAAATCTAGCGGGAAAATTATCCCGAGGTCACGTGATCTCCCCCCCCCCCCTTTGAGGGTCACGTGACCCTGGGGATCATTTCCTCGTGACGAGGTCACGTGACCCCCCCCCCCCGATGCCACATGACTCCCCCCTCCCTCGGTACCCTTCCCTACTCCTCCTCAAGAGCTGCGCTCTAATTCGGCGTTACAGGGAGTTGTAAACGGCTTTCATTTTTTAGAGCGCAGCTCTTAGGGGCCCGTTCCCGGCTTGAGAGGCGTCGCCGTCGGCGTAACCGCGCGGTGGAATATGAGTAAATTTCCCCGCTAGATCTAGCGGAAAACCCCCGCCGAGGTCACGTGACACCTCCAGGTCACGTGACCCCCAACGTCACGTGACCCATCCCCCCGAGGCCACGTGACCACACCCCCAGGTCACGTGACCCGCTACCCCTGAGGTAACTTGACCCCCCCCCCCCCCTAGAACACCTGACCCTCAGTACCCTTTCCTCCTCCTCCTCAAGAGCTGCGCTATAATTCGGCGATAAAGGGAGTTGTAAACGGCTTTCATTTTTCAATCACTCCACCACCTTGTAATGTTCCCCGGACTAAAAAAACGGAAGGCATTCAATTAGAGGCGATATACTGGGACGCCCCTTATGTAATACCGCCTATGGGGATCCTTAAGGCATTTAAATGAAACAAATAAATCTAAAGAAATATACTTTCGCGTGGCGCGTGATAAAACTCTAATGGCACGTGGTACGGGCTCCGCATGTTCCGGAAACACTGTCAATCTTTTGTTCAGTCGAAGTACCTAGATTTACTTCTCCCTACTGCTCCCTGGAAAGACGGTATTATGAACGAAGAATATAATGTAGTGACCATAGGTTATGCCCTGCCGAAGTTTGTCACAGTATTGACATAAATGACATTATTTGAATGAATGCGTTGTTCAAGAACCTCCCGCCGTCTTCGATCAGCTAGCACCTTTGTTCGGTCGTCATGTGAACTCCAACCTCTCGCTAGACTTTGCCTATATATTTAAACACAAATGCGCACCTTGGTAAGACGTAATAGACTGAACGTGTAGTTTTATTAAGTCAGCCTACTGGAAGTATGCTTTAAGAGTTCAAATAGTGTACTTGCATGCAGTGCAGCAGGTACACTTGTCAATACAAAACTAGTACACGAACTTGGGGTTACTTAAATTTAATTGATACTGTACTATCAACGTGCTAGAAATTAATTGTGAAAAGTACACTTCTAGTATTTAAAAAACACTATATTATAAGTATAATTTAATATTTCAATTAAATACGTTTATATTAATGTCCCTCTAAGCTTATCTAAATTCTGCGGAAAATGTATACTAACAGTAGTTGTGAGTTGTTTTCTCGGACATTGAAGAGCACCTTGAAGTATCTACCGTCGGATGTCATGGGAGCCTGGAACGTTGCTGGTCGCTCGAGGGCTAGTAGTCGCCGGCGAAAACCTACCAGAGCGACGACCAGGAAGGCTTGTGCTCGACTAAAAGACTAACAACTTTACTGGACCTACAGAAAAGTGCAATAGACCAAAGAGCCCTTGCGGGAATATTTTTTGTTCGAAGCTTCAGGCTGCCTGATCAGCAGAGCTTCATACAGAAGCTCTTTTTCCCGTCCTTTTTAATGATTTCTTGTGTGCCTCACTCTCCTACCAAAGGTTTTTTTTTTTTTGTATGTGTGATAGTTTCTGTGTCTCC